AAGCATTGGTAATTATGTAGGCCTTGTACCAGGGTTGAGGTGAAGGCGTTGTACGGTTTTAGCACAGGCGGCATGCTGGCTGAAATACGGTGGGGCAGACTGTACTACGGTTGATGATATAAATCCTGCATTGCCCATAATAAGGAGTATACCATAATTCCCATAGTTTAGGGTCCTTAAGGTAATGCAGGATTTATATCATCAACAGTATGTTTATATATTGGCTAAAATGTAGGAACCTGATTCAGGAACCCTGGGCCCGCAACCCCCCAAAAATAGTATCCTTACTTAAAGGATCATGGGACTTAGTAACTAGGGTTATAATTAGGGTAACTATACTTATAACTACTTATAACCCCAATTAAGGTACTTATAAGCTTACTTACTAAGTCCCATGATCCTCCAAGTAGGATTGGCAAAAGGAGCCCTCATAAAGGCCCAAGGTTTCTTAATCAGGCTCCTCCATTATAGGGGGGTACTTAAAGGGTCATGGGACTTAGTAAGTAAGGTTATAAGTAGGTTATAATTATGGTAACCCCACTTAGGGGACTTATAACCCCAATTATAACCTACTTACTAAGTCCCATGATCCTTTAAGTACTGTTTCTAAGTGTACGAAGTTAGGAGCTTCACGGTTCTTAGAACCCCAAAAGAGCCCTTATAGAACCCTTGTAATAACCCTTGAAGGAGCCCTAAAAAGGAACCCATAGAACCCTTGTAGTAAGCCTTAAAGGAGCCCTTAAAGGAACCCTATTTTAGGACCCTTAGAACGATACAAGCTGTGCATTGCATTGCCCGCGACATCCCTGAGACTGCTCTTACATTTCGCGCATCTGTCGCAGCAGAAGGGGTATAAGGGCTTACAGCGTACGGCATAAGATCCCCAAGCCCTACCTCAACCTTGAAGAACCTACCTTTCTAAGGTTCCTTATTATGGTTTCGTTTTCTAAGTCATCAAAAAGGCAGGTTTTCCGGTGTACAACAAACCATACTGCTGCGGTGAAGTGGATCGATGACCCTCATGCTGCATCATGCATCCAGCCGCTGGATCCGAGAGCCTCTAAGCCCTGAGCCCAATACCCGGAACCCGCGGAACCCTACACCCGAGACGCCAAACCCTCCACCCCGCCGAACCCTGAACCCTCTACCCTAAACTCGCAACTCTCGGACACTGAATACAAAAGCCTTCATCATCAGAATAATGGTTTGGCTGAATACAACACTTCAACCATAACAGGAACTACTATTAGGGAATAGCATTTCTAACTATTCCGACGTCTCTCTCTCTATACATATATATATATATATGGATAAAGAGATATGATGTTAAAAATACATATGTATATATATATATATATATATATGTAATGGAGCTATTTCCGAACCCAGGTCGCGAAGGCATTCCTGGAGCCTCGGACCCAACTCACAAGCCCAACACCAAAAGGACGAAATTTCACCCTAAGAGCGGGGGTTTAGGGTTTTAGGGGCCTGAGATGGTTTTGGGTTCAACTACCACACATAGGGATTCATAGGATATGGGCATGGGCCTCTCATGTAATTTGTTGAGTTTGGGTATTGGGTTCTAACATCAAACACCATAGACACGCAGTAGAAGTCTGCAAACAACCGAAAACACTAAACCCAGCTGGCCCTAAACCCTAAACGTCTTGCGCCCTAAACCCCAAAACACCGAAAACCCTAGACTCAGCTGGCCTTGTTCTTCGGTGATGCCTTGGCTTTGGCCTTGGCTTTACCTGCTTTGGCATCCGTCTTTGCCTTCTTCTCCGCGACTTTCTTCTCCTGTTTTGTGTCGCGTGTGGGTTGAAGGAAGGAGTATAGTGTAGTGTGGTAAAGAGCAGAACCACATCGCATAGTACAGTAGAGTATAGTATGCAACATCCCCCGACCCCTAATAATAATGAAAGGTCTTGCTTGTTTCCAGCGGGGCTTTGCGGCAGAATATGCTGTCATTACATAGGGACGACGATTGGAAACTACAACAACTTATTCAGACCCGGCTATTGCAGGTGCTCCTTTTCCAAGTCCTTAGTTTGCTTGGCCGCTGCCTTCTCTTCCTTGGACAGCCGCGCCTTCTTGGCCTTAAAATCCCACGGGTGGTTATAGGACCTATGGCCTTTGAGATTTCGACAAGGTGTTCATGGCTTTTGTAGTTGGAGCATGATCCAGACGCACCCCTGCCGTTTCCTTCACTTTTCAGCTGTTCGATTTAAAATTTTCAGGGCTTTTTCAAGGGGTCGCAAACTTCTGCTTTTCTGCTTCCGACGTTTTGCTCTGGCTTTTGGAGTTCGCGAATGAGGGGAGGTGGGGCGGGTTGGGGGGGGCAATAACGTTATTGTCGCAGCTGCTTAGTTGTTCGGCTTGCACTTCTGCCATCTTACTCGGAATGCTGTCTTACAACATGGACTAGAATTTTTATGTTGCGAACCATGTTTCCTAATGATAGTCTCTATATAAGCCCTATAGGCCCTATAGCAACTCTTCTCATGACCCGTATAGAAGCCATTATACTAGCCTCGTGGCCTACAGTACCTTGAATATTGCCTGTGCAGGCTGGGCGCAGGTTTGGCGGTCTCCTCATTCTCAGCGCTGGGCAGAGGCACGTAAGACTTCTTGGCCTCTTCGTACTCAGCCTTCTTTGTCTCGTACTCCGCCTGAAAGACCTTCTTCTCCTCTTCGCTGAGCTTCTTCCACTTTTCGGAGGCTAGCTTCGTGATGGCCGTGACCGGCTGGCCCTCGACTTCCTTCGTGAAAGCCGCCCGGTTCTTGGCCAGAAAGCAGCCAAACGCCCCACCTGCTGGCTTCTTGGGGCTTAGTACCTCGGGTTACTACTAGGGTATATAATCACACTTATAACTACCCATATACCTAAACCCTTTTGAACCCTAAACCCCTAAACCCCATAGCCCCAATTAGGGTACCCCGCCTGCTGGCTTCTTGGGTGCTGCAGGGTCCTTCTTGGGCTTGGACGCTTTCTCGGCCTTCCTTTTGATGCCCTTCTTTTCGCCGCCCGCATCGAGGAAGGCTTGCATGTCGGCCTCGTACTTTGCCTTGGCATCCTCAAACTTCTTCTGGTACTCGGCCTTCACATCCTCCCCGAGGGTCTTGTAGCCTTAGCTGCCGGGTTCACACCTCACCAAAAACTTGAAACTTTCAGCCCTATAATGGGCACTAGACGAACATATACTAATGCAAACCCGGAATATGCTAGTATAGACTAGTCTATAACCCACACTCTACTAACAGATACCCCAAACAACATTTCTAGCATATACAGTACCACAAAATACCTAACCCTCAATACTACACTTTGCGACGAAGTACTTATAGTATATTCTAGTATATACAGTGTATATATATATACCTATGTATATATGCATATATATATATATATAATATACACATACTCCTTTTATGTACTAAATTCAGCTACTAAGTAGCGGTTGCCGGCCAGCTTGGCCACCTCGCTCGCCGGCTTACCCGGCCCGAGCTCCTTCCTGGGTTTCGGTTTGTTTGGGGTTCTTCTCATTTTAACGGTTCCTATAAGGGATCCTTTGAAGGGATCTATAAGGGTTCCTTTAAGGGTAAAGGATTACCAGAATGAAGGAAACCAAATTACTATAGATCCCTAGTCTGGTAACCACATTACTTACTAAAGGTCCCAACTGTGGTATATTATTTACTCTAGACCCCTATATTATGGTAACTTCAATTGCCTGCCCCAAGAAGAACCGTATATTATTTACTATAGACCCCTATAAGGTAAAAGCCAGAAAGTTGGAATATGATAATCCTAACCCTTCTATGGTAAATTATAGGGTATCCTACCATGAAACCATATTCCAACTTTCTGGAGTTCCCTGTATTATGGTAACTTCAATCAAATCCCTCAGGCAGAACCCAGCGTCTGCAGCTCCGCGCGGTGCTCGCCCAGCCAGACACCGTAGGCTCCGCCGATCCTTAGGTTTGCGGTTGAGGGTTCAGGGTATATATAGGGTTTAGGGTTTAGGGCGGTTTAGGGTTAGGATGGTCTTCAAACCGTAAATTTCTATTCCTTATTGGATTTGAGTACCTGTAAAAAGAAAAGTTGCACAACTCTGACAAAGGATCGGCTTCTTCGGCTGCTCACCGGCCATCTTTTAAGCGGAATGAATGGAGGAGCAAGGAAGAGGGATGGGACCACTAGTGAGAGGGCACACCTCTGAGGCTGACAAAGGCGGCCGGCCACACGACCATGCGCACTCCCTTCTTCTGCTGAGTCGTAGCTGTCCTAGCTTTTACCGTAAGTGCCCTGACGGCTTTTGGTGCCTGGTCTTCCTCGTCTTGACTTCAGTTCGCACCTCTTTGAATGAGTAGCAAGACCTGCACCAAACAGCATTGTAATGTTCACCCCTGGTTCATAAACCCCTTCCCAACCATAGAATTCTGATCATTAAGGGTCTAGCTTGTTCTACTTCAAATCACAATCTTTTCAAAGGAGGCCTCTTTACACGCACCCCAAACGCTCTGCGTAATCCCAACTTCATACAGTATGTCAATCCCCACCTTGCCCAACACTGGGCCGGAACGCTTTTGAAACCCTATATACGGGCCTTAACATGCTCACCAATTTGCATTATGAGCATTGCACGCGCTAGAGCTCATACAGTGTCAGGGTTGAGAGTACAGGGTTATGGGGTTCTGAGTCTACAAACGGATTAGGGCTTCGAGTTTAAGTCGTGTTTCTAATCAATGCGGCACTTAGGGTGTTCGGTTTATACAGGGTATTCCTTCATCTCCTTTCTGAGATGAGGTCTAGGTGCTCGGGCAAACAAACCCTACACCCCGAGGCGTAGTCTTGAGGGCTGAGGTGAAGTCACGATGTATCAGGTTAATACACGAACCAATCGACAGCTTCAGGGCTTCTTAATATAAAGCCCTGCAGATAAATATTTTGTCTGGCATACAGGTACAGGTAGGGCTTAGAATGGCAGGCAGGACGCTCTCCCACAAAAGCTGCGGAAGCGGCGTGGGCACCTGAACATGGCAAGACGTGAAGTCACGAGTTCGCGAACTGGAGGATGGCTTAGGTGGCATTTACGTTAAATTTTAGGAAATATTTTAGGGATTACGATAGGTAGCTTTTGACTGGGGTTTAAGGCTTTCGCGTTTAGGGCTCGGGCATTCGGGCTTTTGGTTTAGAGTTTATGGTACTTGGGGCGTAGGGCTCAGTGCGTGTGGGACTTTGCTTGTTTAGAGATAAAGGACTGTACTGATATGGCAATTGTAAAGCGGACATCGACAACACCTCACAAAAAGTGCCGGTGCAGCTGTACTCCTCAACGAAGGATGTTCATGCCCCTAACCCTAAACAAAGCACACAACAAGCCTTGAACCCTGTATAATCCCAACCCCCACACCACCTGGCACGTCAGCACTTGGACGATCAACCTCAATCGCTACATCTCCAAGCCGGCTGAACTGGGAAGATGGGCTATGCATGTATGCAGGCCCCAATGAGTTCGCTGGAAGTCTAAAAGGGTAGTGCCATAATTATGCTTAACTGTACTTCTAAGGCTACTGCAAGGGGAAGGTTGATCTTGTGCGGATCTTCATGTTGCGTACAAGAACTCGGAGGAGTAGCCCTAAACCCTAAACCCTGGACCCCCTGGACCCTAAACCCTAATCACAACGATGCAAAGGCACTTCAGCTCCATCTGCATCCGTCGGGACCTCCTTCCCAAGCCAATCCCATCCTGCAAAGAAGACCCTACCCATAAGCCCCATAATGGTTCTTGGGGCTCATATTTAGAACTTTATAAGGTAATCCCAAAAAGGAACTACTATGGGGCCTATGGGTAAACCCGGTGGCTGCAGCTCGGACTGAAAACGGTATTAACTGAAAGTTTTGGCGGATGCTCTCTACAGATGCTGGTTGTCATACTTGGTAACAACTGCTTACCTGTCGCCACTCATCATCATCGTGGTGCTTCCATGTATCTGACTCCTGTTCATCATGGCAAAGGAGCACTACAATCATTCAGGCCCCTATGTTGTCACGGCTCAGCATCAGATCGGTCGTGATCCATGGCACCGCTCGCTGAAGCATGAGAGATCGAAAAGGCACGGCGTCCGATACTCAGGATTTAGTAAACAAGCTGGCTTTTGTCTTTACAGTCTAATTCTAGCTTTGGCAAGTTGCGTTTTGTAGGGCTTCAAGTTGCTATGGAGTCATGAAGTACTTCGAACCGCCTTTGGGGTTTGCTTTAATTACTATCATTCCATGGGGGCTACATGGGACTTACTCCTCCAGTTTCCCGCCCCGGCCTCAACGCCAATCTTTGGGATAGCATTCGATAGGGAACTTCTAACCCCACCCCACAACAAAAAAGGCTGAACGTTCCGGATTCGACCGCTAAGAAGCCCAAGCTAAGGCCTGAGGCTGAGTTCTATCCTTAGATGCTGAGTTCATGGGCCCCAAAGTGTACACTTTCGGTTTTATAGTGGGTAGTATTAGCCCAAAAAGTGTAAAGTGTATCCACTCAGCTACGAAGTATTAGGAACCTGTCTTTGCTAAGTCAGAGGAGGCTTACTCGGTAGTTGGAGTAGGGGTTTGGCACATATTATACTATAGTTACAATAACGAAGCCGAAACCAGTAGGGGTGATTATTGAGTCCCCTATATTAGCGGCGCGTAAACCCCCTCGAAAGCCCGTGGGAGCCGCTGGCAAAACCCTGAAACACCATTATGCCCGCCTATCAGCCCTAACACACCCAAGAACCCTACACCCTGTAATCCCGATATACACCCAACAAGGCTTTCGGGCTTAAGGTTTAGGAATATAGGGTTCAAGGCAGCTTGCTCCCAAACGATGGCCCTTGAAACAAAAGCCAAGACACCACGAGCAATCTGCCCAAGCGCGTTCATGGCCAAGAGTAGATCTCTGCCTTCGTCTGGTAACCCAGAGACTCCAAAATCCTTTAATTCAGGAATATGTTAGGTACGGCCCCATACAGTAAGAGTCTATAATAGGGCTACTATTAAGGTCCTACTATATCTATATGATGAATATTTTTCAACTATTACTGAGTGGGGGCGGTACCCAAGGAATATACCCTAAACCATGATAGGGATCCTACTACAGTCTAAGGTATATTCCTGAATTAATGGATATTGGGGTCTCTGGGAAGATAGATCCTTCGTACATAGAAGGGGGTTGTTTGGTATACTATGCCATATACAGCTTACCAAGAAACCCACAACACAAAATCTAGCAGGAACCCCAAGGGAATAGTAGGGCCATCTATTCAGGCTTCTCGCTTGGTTCCTTGCCAGATGCACTCAGGGTGTGTTCAGGATTTCGGAACCGAAGCTCCCTTGATACAGGGGCCTTAGTCATGAGCGTAGGACTTTAAGCGGCTCTAAACGGCTCTTAGGGTTTGTCACATCCGGGTGTTTCGGACAAATTAGCTATCCTCTTCTTCGGGACCCCAAACCCCCTACTCTCTTAGACCCTGTGCCCTAAACGATAGACTCTCTCCATAGACACTACACCTTTATGGTGCCGGTAACTTTCATCTATTATTACTACTATCTCTACCGTCGGAAGAATGGGTCCCTTACCTCCGTAAACTCCCGTGTCAAAATCGCGGTCAAGCCTTGCAAAGCACATAAAGCTTGCATTTGTTCACTCTGCTGGTTGGTAGGGGTTTAGTGCTGCGTTAGATGAAGATCAGCTTTTGCTTCGCTCAAGGACACTGAAAAGCACACGCCCTAGAAGCCGAACACTTTGCCAACCCCAAAGCCCTGAACCCCAAAGCACACAGACACACAGACACACAAACAGACACACAGACACACAAACAGACATAGACACAGACACACAGACACACACGGAGACACACGGAGACACACAGGGACACACAGAGACACACAGACACAGACACACACGCACACATACGCACACATATGCACGCACACACACACACACACAAGCAAGTTCCAGCAAGCCGCTTTCAAGCGAATGCTCTGCAGAGGGAGCTAGCAAGGCGAGCAGCGTCGCACGAAGTGCGACAAGCCTGGGTCTAAGTTACAGAGAGGTCAACATGAGTAGACCAGGCTGGGTGGGTGTCGTATCGTGCAGCTGAACTATAGAAGCGGGAACTTGACTTAAGCATTCAGATCCCTAGTCCTCGCATAATCCCGCTACAAGTAGCACACAACACCCTTCGCAAGTCCAGTCTACTTCTTGAAGCCCTATAATGCAGGTCCCGAAGTTCGATTCGTCAATTCCCGGGCCTGCGAGTGCATAGCTCTGCAACACTACTTCCAAACCAAGGTGTGCTGCCAACTGTGCTGCCCTTGACCGTAGACCCCAAACTCTGAACCTCCAAACCCAAGCCCTCAATGGCCCAGACAAAAACACCATGAACCCGAAGAAGAACCGTCTAGAACCCGACAACCCCCTCGCGGTAACCCTTATACGCTTACAAAAACCATATCCAAAGTATGATTGTGCTTCAAACCTCCCAAACCGTATGAAGCCCTTCTCAAGAACCCCCTTTGCAGGAACCCCTTAACTTAACCCTACTCGAGCCCTCTGAGGAACTCTCGAGAGAAATCGCTACAAATCCTTCACAGCAACCCTGATGGTAGCGGTTTTCGGGTTTAGGGTTTCGGGGAAGCCCCTGGCAGAAGGGAGGAACCCTTATAGGACTCTCCAAGATTCTGTCGTTTGCGGCCGTGATACCCTGCAAAACCTTCATCTTGATCCTTTTCGTACCAGTAGCCCTTAACGGAACCTGCTTTAAAGGAACCATGCTTTAACTCTCCTTCTGAAATCTTCATAATAACCCTTATAGCAACCCTTAGTGGAACCCCTTTCAAGGAATCCCCTCCATGGCCCTCAACAGTATTGTGCTCTGAGCTACCTGCGCTACCCTAAACCCGAAACCCCAATTCCCTCTTCAGGCCCGCTTACTACGAGTCGATTTCAACAGTCCCCAAAACCCTTAGGGCTCTATATTCAACAATAAGGGAACCCCACATCGATACCTAGCCCCATAAATCCTAAACCACTAAACCCTCCACCCCAAACCCCAATTCCCTCTACCGAGGCCCCGCTTACTAGACCCCCCTCAGAACCTTGACGAAAAAATAGCTTTAACGCTCACGTGAGTTATGCTATATATTTATATTTATACACACATGTGAACAAGAATGAAACAAATTCCTAAGGAGACTATAGCTAACCTATACCCTTATACCCTCTACCGAGGCCCTGCTTTGGGAGACACCAAGAAACAAGGCCACTTCGGAACCCTTATAGACCCTTTAAAAGAAACCCTAGGGTTCTATATGACACCAAGAGACAAGGCCACTTCGGCCTCCTCTCGGGCCTCCTCGGCCTCGCCGACTTTCTTTGGAACTCACTTTGCGCGGGGGCGGGGGGCTCTAGGGTTTAGGGGTTTAGGGTGTAGGGGGGCTCTAGGAGTTAGAGTAGGGCTGGCTAACTTTCGCGCGCCCCTTAAGAGTTTTAGTAGTCTTTAGGGTTTGGGGCTTAGAGTTACAGTAGGGTTTAGGGTTTAACTTTGCGGGCTTTAGGAGTTAGAGTAGGGTTCCTTCACAAGGGCATTGTAAGGATCACTATCAAGCCTTTTTGTCGTATTTCGTACACGGGCCTCAGCAAACCCGAACCCTTTTTGTCTCCTTATGGAAACCCTTAAACGAACCGAAGAGTTCTAAACCCAAAGCCCGACAGCCCCAAACCCTTAACCGAAACCCCTTAAGGAAACCCTTATACGAAGTCCAAAAATGAAACCGAACCAAAAACCCTAAACTCTTAACATTTTTTTAACTTGAATTTAAGGAACCCGTTACGGAAGCCTTAAACGGAACCCGCGAAACCGAGAAGCAAAAGCCGAAGAAACCCCAAACCCTAAACCCCTAAACCCTGAACCCATAAACCCTGAGCCCCAAACCCTTCACCCTGAACCCTTTAAGGAACCCTTCAAGGAAGATGGAAAAGAAACCCTACACCCCTAAACACTAATTTAAACCCCTGAGCCCCTAAACCCTTTGAGGAATCCTTGAAGGAAGCCTTAAAAGGAACCCTAATCCCTCAACCCTAAAACCCTAAACCGAACTCCAAAAGCCTAATTTAAACCCTAAACCCTTAACGGAACCCTAAACCCTAAACCCTTAAAGGAACGCTTTAAGGAACCCCCAAAAAAGGAATCCCAAAAGAAACCCTAAACCCCCTAGGAACCCTTAGAGGAACCCCTTAAAGGAATCCCAAAAGCGCCAGAAAAAAAGGAAACCGCGGAGAGCCGGGCGGCCGGGAGGTTCGAGGCCCCGAGGCGACCCAAGGCCCTGAGCTGGCGCACCGCGGCGCCGGGAGAGAGGCCAGGGAGGCTCCTAGGGTTCAGAGTTTTAGGACTTTTAGGGTTTGGGGGTTCAGAGTTTTAGGAGTTTAGGAGTTTGGGTTTAGGGCTAGGGTTCGAGGGTTCGGGGTTTTGGGTTCAGGGGTTTAGGATTTAGGTTTCCTGGTTTAGGCTTCAGGGGTTTTGGGTGCAGGGGTTTAGGATTCAGGGCGGTGTGTTTTGCTCGGTATATGTGTTTCTTGGCATGTTTCATAAGTTCTTTTCTTCAGCTTCGGGGACTTTAGAGGTGTTCGCATTTAGTTTTGAGATCTTTGAGTTCAGGGTTTCGGGCATTAGTGGATGAGCAGTAGTAGGGTTTAGGGCTTGGGGGGTTGGAGTTCAGATTCCGGGTTGAGGCTTAGGGTTCAGGGCTAGGGCATGTGTAGGTCAGAGTTCCGCCTGTTTCTGAAAGTGGGCCATCAGCCGACATTTCGGGACATACACACTCAAGGAACCTTCACAAAGCACACTGACAGCAGTAGCGTCGAAATCCGGGGTTTCTGGAACCAAACAACAATAATGTCCATTGTCTCGCTGCAGATGGGTCGATACGAGAAAGTTTTGACATACTGGTAGCTGGCCCCTCCCTACCACGCAAAACCCGAAGCGACGACACTTTTCCCAACACTGCTGCCTTTCATTTCTGCTAAATTCAAAGAGCATGCCAGCATCAACTGGGTTCTTGTTAAGGGATTTAGTTTAAGTAACCATAATAAAGAAACCGTGTTAGTTAGCATAGATCCCTATCATGGTAACTTGATTTAAGTTCCGTAACAAGAACCCAGTCAACACATGGGAGTTTCCGAAAACAGGGGACCCTAATATAGTACCCTAAATAGTAGGACCCTTATTGTAAGGACCCCAAAATTAGGTACCCCCATTTTTCGGAAACTGTTATAGTACCCTTATAGTAACCCTTTAAAGGAACCCTAAGGTACCCCTAATTTTCGGAAACTCCCACATCTAGCTCAGGCTTCTTATTGAGATGCCAAGATGATGGGAGGCCAAAAGCGGGGGCTTTAAGATTCTTGGGGTAGGGATTCCTTAATACGAACCCTATCATGGGAACCCTAATCCCTACTAAACCCCCATAGGCTAAAACCCCCCTCGGTCCTCCTATGATACCGTTATAGATCCTTTAAAGGAACCCATATAGATCTCTTTAAAGGAACCCTAGGGATCCCTAGCCCCCTTTTGGGCCTCCTATGCCAAGAGGCCAGGCGCTGCAATGAGAATCGCAGAAGGCGGCGGCTGCGCAGCGGTCGAGGCCTATCATTGTAATATAGGGGCCTTCATAATTAGAATAGGCTTTTGGGGCCCACTACACTGAAGTTATAAAAGGAACCCCCCAAGATAGTATGGACAACTATTGAGGCCCCGATACTACTTTTGGGGCCCATTATGCTGTAATTACAAGAAGGACCCCCCCCCCCCCCCCAAAAAAAAAAATGGTATAGGTAATTCTTGAGGCCCCTCTACTAGGGCCAATTTATTTAAGCAGGACGGACGGCGAGTTGAGGGTCCTAAACCCTAAACTGGTCAGCCCCCATGAGGGAGCTTGACGAAGCCATGAGTAAAAGCATGGACTGATAAGCCTGGTCTCCGTAGAAGTATCTTATTTTCCTGTGCTCCAGAAAACCCTGCTTCAATCTTTCATGGCCCTATATATTTTAGAGGCAAGCTTTGTCGTCTCCTCATGAGGTACGGTTAGAGATCTTGGCTTACACACCCTCGTAACGCGAAGGAAACCGAAGGAAGAGTGAATATTGTAGATACTTATCTGCAGACATATAGCATCGAGTAGGCGAGTAGCCTAACCCGACAATCACCCTAAACCGCGCAGGGATTTGTAGCTTAGGGCGCTGTGCGAGAAGGCATGTACGGCAGACACTGTAAAACCCGACGATCATTCAACACCAGTTACATCCTTCTTGCAATCTCCAGCAGCCCCCCAAAACAGGTAGGAACCGACTGAATGAAAGAAACCTGTCATAACAAATCTATGAAACAATAGGACAACTCTCACAACCCATCTTAATGATACTAAAGAACACAATTGCCCTGCAACAAAATCCCATGATAACCCGCGAGAAGCCTGGTGGCCCCACACGCCATTGCATCAACGAGCGCCAACAGGCTATCAGCTGTCTGCTGTCCTCTGCTGAATAGGGAGTTCATGGTTTCTTTTATTTGGCTTAAATACATGGCTTGGCATGACGAGGTGCTAGTGAAGCGTTTTTAGGGTGGTTCGGCATATTGGGGGGAGTTCTTGTTTACGAAACCATTCAACTTGAGCTAGCACAACGACATGAAGGCGTCTCGTTCCAACAAGGCCGAGTTAAGCCAAGAAGTTGTGCTTGCCCTTACGCCGTTCACTCATTACACGTTTCGGTTAGTTTGGACTTCGTGATCTTGTGACTCTCTTCTCATACATCATCTTGTAAAACGCGCAGATCCCAACATGCCAGATTCTGTTCAGGTCATGGATGCGATGCACTCGGAAAACGGACGTCCCTGATGGTTCGAGCTGGGATGCAATTGCTAAACACAGTACTCCTGAAGTAGTTACATGGTACCTCGGTCCATTACCCAGGCGCCTCTAGCATATGGGTAGTTGTCAAAATTATGGTCCCTTTTTGGGTACCCTAAATATTAGGTGCCGTACTATATTAAGGACCCAAAAATAGGGACCCTAATATTGACAACTACCCATATCCTTTACCATCAGTGTCACATGGTTGCGTCACATCAAATTGAAAAACACATAGCTCGTGATGTTACAATTCTCATGCTTTCGATCGAGACGTGGGCCAGGGAGTTGTGCCCGCAACACAAGATTCTAATGGCGTTTTTGTTGAGGGGCTTTTGGTGTCTGCACGACTGCCCGGCTGCTACCAGCCCCTTTGGGCAGTCTTTCGACGAGGTACTTACGACCACGTCTCCACAACTCTATGAAGCAAGGAATTAGGGTATGGCCAGGGCACTGCCATCGGCCAAAAGCGAGCCAAGCAGTCGGCAAACTCTGGAAAGAAGTCCTGCAGCAAAGCTGCAACTACTACAAGTGGTCTAATACAAGGGCCTTTTTAATAGGTACCTATACTATTGTTTGGGCTCTTTGTTATGGTTTTACCTTATTACAATTATAGTATAATTATACCCCAAATCTTAACTCTGCTAAATTTTTAAGGCCCCCCTACATTGGGGTCAGGGTTCGGGCTGCGCCTTACCAAACCCGAAACCTCGAACCCGAGACTCCTCAGCGAAATCAGAGGGATTCTGATCCCTCTGTACTTTTGAGGCTTTTGGGTTTAGGGTTCATGGTTTGGGATTTGTGGTTTAGGGCTTGTAGGGTTTAGGATCTAGGAGCGTAGGGTACTTCTGCTTCGGGACTTCCTCTGTCCTGTGGAGGGTTCCCATCTCGAGGGTGCGGGGAGAAAAGGATCTATCGGATCAGTAGCTTAGTAATCAAGTTGAAAACTGAACCCCGACACCCTCATAGTAACTCTTGTTGTGACCCCTCTAGCTCTAGCACCCCTCGTACTAATCCTTGCAGCAACCGCTGGCCTCGTCCGTGATGCAGGCACGCGCGCAGGCGCGTGGAAGATCGACGAGTGCTGCCTCCACAGACGAGGGTCAATCTATAGAATAAAGGAAAAGCTTCACATGAGAATCGAAGTAGCAAGAATCGAAGTAGCAAAAACATAAATAAGAAACATGTCAATTGCAAGGATGATCGTTTCAGTTCACAATAACCGTCAACGTTAAAACAAAGAAAGCTGATGCACTATGAGTCGAGCATAGAAGCAAGGAAGGGAAGATTTTGGAGGTCTCGGGGTATCCAGGCTGTTGGTTATAAATCCCACACTAGGGTTGATGATATCAATCGCGCATCAGCTTAAGGACCCTAAACTATGGAATTCTGGTATATTCCTGATTATGGGTAATGCAGGATTTATATTATACCTCAGGCTTGCGGGGACCACTCATTGTCTCAGGAAGTGGTCGGGCCACTACCGTGAGTACTGTAAACTAAGCTCCCTTGATAGGACGGCAGTCCCTCTGTCTCTTTCTGTCTCGGCCTCTTTCTAGAGCCTGTGGGAAACACCTAAACCCTAAACCCTACTGTCGTACACAATAACAACTTCGTCAGACTAGCAATCGCAAAGGCGGCAAGAAACATCCCGTTAGCCTGCCTAGGCTTGATCTTTGCAGGAAGTAGACTTAAACGAGAAGGCATGTTCCTGCATGCACCCGGTTCGTAAACCCTATAAACCCTAAGCCCTACGTTGTGGTATATCAGTGCATCCAGGCTCCCAAATCCTCTACAAAGGAGCGCCTTTTGTCTCCATGTTGGTTTCCTTTTGTCGCTATGGTGTTTCTCGCGATACCGGATTCAAAACACAAAAACTGCAAAGCAACCAAAAGCAACTACGTGGGATACTGCAAAATGCAAGAATTAGACGAGGCTTGCTCAATGCCGGAGCTTCAGCAAAGGGAATCGGGACAAGTGATTGCTTAGAGTAGGATAATGGGCGTTCAAAACTTCTGGACAACAACAGAAACCTGAACCCCACCTGAACCCCATGAAACCTATACTTTTCAGGACTTACATGAAAAAAATGGACATTTATCCTGAAAAGGTAAGTTGCTCAGGGTCCAGGTAAAGCTTAAACCCGAAAGGCACTGGACCTGTGCAGACAAGTTGGGAAGGAGCTCGCGCAGCTGCGCCGTGATGCGATGCTTCCTCAGGGCAGGGTGGTAGCACAGTTCCCGGCCAACCACTTTGGAGTTTAGGGCTCAAGCATGTAGGACTTATGGTTTGGGGTTTAGGGTTTGAGTTTTTTGTTTGATCTTGCTTTTCGTAGACCACAAAAACTTGAACCTTAGATGGAAGCTTCCAAAGACCGAAATATCCCTTAATCAAGGAGTACAGGGGCTTCGTATTATGATTTAAGGCATACTCCATAATGAATTTAGGAAAAGTGGTTTCGCATTCTGATGTAGAGTATATTCCTTGAATAAAGAGTATACTGGACTGTCTGGCTTCCGGTGTGCAAAATCTCAGTCACGCTCTCTCGACAACAGCCCTGTTTCGACTGGACGGGACACCGTCTGCCAGGAACAGAACCCTATACAAGTTCAGGCAGGGTTGCCTTACTGGTGCATTCAGTATCACCCTTTCCCCGCTGATAAACCCCAAGCCCATCTAAACCCCTACATAACCCTTTCAGTAACCTTTCTAAGTAACCCTTTGAAAGGAACCCAATAAGACACCACCAAACCCTGTATGACATGCCCCGACGTGCCATACTAAAACCTTGTAGAAGCCTTCCATGTAAACCGTATGGACCCCGTGAAGGAATCCTATAATCTACCTCAAAGCCCCTATGCTAAACTCTTTGGAACCTTTACATAAAGCCTGAAAGGAACCCTCAAAGTAACCCCCTTTAAGATGCCCTTGAGACCAAGGCCCCTTTCTGAAACTCCGTTGAACCTGTTTGTAACTGGTGCCGAACCCTCAAACGAGACCCTAAAGCTACCTTAGAAGTGGCCCCACCCTGTAAAAGTGGCATAATAGGAAAATAATAGGGCCCTAATAGAATCCTTATAGTCACTATTACAGGGTGGGGGGCCCCTTCTAAAGGCTACCCTGTGAAAGCCAACCCTTCAAGGAATCGTGGCAAGGGAAGCCCAAGGCTGCCCTTCAATCGGGAACCCTTAAAGGAAGCCTGTAAGCAATATAGGGGCCATAATCATTAGAATAGGGTTTGGGGCCCATTATTTATACTATAGTATTAAGAAGGAACCGCCCCCATAGTACGTGACCCCTATTTTGGACCCCCAAACCGAAGCGCATCCCAGCATCTGGCGGGAGGATAGCTCGGCCATGTCCGCAACCTCGAAAACTGGATAAGACAGTGGCCTTTAGTGGTTATTTTGGGCTTGGGGTTTAATGTGGGATGGAAAGTCTCAGGGATAGTACTAGCATTCAAGGCACGGCTCAGCTCGGTTTGCCGAAAGCAGCGTCCGACAGAGGGATAAGAGCCGGAAAGCAAGAGACTGACAAACAGGCCCTACTATTTGCTTAAGAACCCCCAAAAAATAAAAAATATATTCCTTATGGGGGTAATATGGGGATTATTATTCTTATTTTTTGGGTGGTTTCTTAAGCAAATAGTGGGGCCCTGTATAAAACAAGCCGGGGCAGCTCGAAGCCCTGCGCTCTAGACCCGAAGCCCCAGCGTCCCTACTTGGAGGATCGTGGTGGGACTTTGTAAGTAAGCTTATAAGTACCTTAATTGGGGTTATAAGGAGTTATAAGTATAGTTACCCTAATTATAACCCTAGTCCCATGATCCTTTAAACTAGGAAAGTAGAGGTTCAGGGAGGATACCGAACTAGGAAGCTTCTGCCCTGAACTTGCTCCGGAGAAGCCGGCCCTCCAAAGCAGCGGCAGCAGGGTTCCTACACTATTATAGTACCCCCAGAAGCTTCCTCACATATAGAGCCCTTTAAGGGAACCCTCAAGCGAGAAGAAGTGTGGCAGCGGCAGTGACAGCAGCAGAAGCAGGAGAAGCAGTATTCGCAGCAGCAGCAGCCGCTGGAGTAGTAGTACAGCCGTAGAGTAGTAGTAGCAGTACGCGTCGTCGTCCACGCAGTCACAGTGGCCGAAGTCGTCGTCGTCGTTTTGGCAGTCGTGGTCGCAGCAGCAGTACGAATGACTAGTGGGAGGAGGCGCAGTAGAAGCAACAGCAGCAATCGCAGTAGCGGCAACAACCCCGCTACAAATGATAATTTGGTAGTGTCGGTGGCAGAATCGAAAGGAACAATCCACATTAGGCAGCGCCTGAGTTCTGACCATCGCGACAGCAACCACAAGCATCTTTGCAGGACGCAGGCAGGCCACTTGACATCACATGACAGATATCCCCCCTAAACCCCAAACCCGCCTGTAGCTGTTTAGAACAGAGTCTATGGGGGTTCGCTATTCTAGTTTATAGTATAATATACCCCCAAACCCTATTTCCAATTACTAAGGCCCCTACATTAAATGCCGGCCATTGCAGTCCCAGCAGCTGCATGGATCGCGTCCAAGGACAGCCCAAGCTCTCGAAGCGGCTCCTGTCATGGGGTTTAGGGTTAGGGTTTGGGTCTAGGGTTCAGGGTTTAGGGTGCTGCATCATAGCTTGCAGCTCTAAGAGTCTTCGAAGGCCGGAGAATCTCTGAAGTAGAGTATACAGACAAGCCCGTACATGTACTACATACATATAAACTAGTAACGTTAATACTACGAATAATAATAACCACCATCAGTAATATATATATATATATGTACTGTATACATATGTACTAACAACATAAACAATACTAATAACTATCATCACCATCAAGAATGACCTACCCCGAAGCACTAAAAGCCTCGTGGTCCACCAGCAGCTGTCGAGCCAGCGACTTGGCGATTTCGGAGGAGGCCGGATAACCTCACATATAACACTGGGTGTATAGCATGTAATATAGAATATGTACTCAAGAATACTCCATAATGTATAATGTATAGCCGGTCATCTAGTATATTCTATGGACGGAGATTCAGAAGGGGAAAGCTGTGATGCTACGGGTAACGACATCAAACCGCAGCGGCATGGATGCAGCCTGGATCACTTGGCCTTCTTGTCCGACAGTCTACGGAACAGTCTCGACAGAATGCCCACATGTTTGAAAATCGAGGATTCGTCGCAAAGTCCGGCATCAGTCCAACACACCTTTCCATGATGTAGATCCCCGATCAGCAACCCCTCTGTCTTTGAGGGCCTCTGAATGTTCTCGATTAGGATTTTTCATGGCGAGTTGAGGGCTTATTCAGGAGCAGCTTGCATTAACCACTGCAGTCTCGTTTCAGGTGGCTTATATGCGGGATCCGAATAATTGTGTGTCCCGAACACGCTGAAACTCTGAAACCTAAGCCTAAACCCTACCATCAATTAAAGGCCCCCAAGGGTGTCGGAGAATAAGACCCCGAAAAGCTCCTGTAACCCTGAAAAGCTCCTAAATCCTTATGGGAGTTTCCCGAAAATAGGGGGACCATACTAGAGTACTCTAAACAGCAGGAGCCTTGCTTTAGGGACCCCAAAGAAAAAAGTACCCCCCTAATTTTCGGAAACTCCCTTATACACCTTTTTAGCCCCTAACCCTTAGTCCAAGGCCCCAGCAAAAGCCTCTAGGTCTTCGAGCAAACTACGGAGACAACCCCTAGCTTCAGTAAAACCGAGGAGCCCACGAGACTGGAACTACTCTGCTGGCACTTGTGGGCCTCATTAGCTAGAATAGAGTTGCAGGGCTCTTCTACATTACGTTGCAGCACCTCTCTGGTAACACCAACGCGGCAACCCTTCTTACCCTGCTTTAAGTTTCGTAAGCCTTATGGTGCTTAAGTTCCGAATAAGTGCTTGCTTCAATGGGCGACAGAAACAAACAGCTCTGACTATGCTACACTAGCCCTCATAGAAATCTTTCTTCATAGAAACCGAAAGTCACCACGTCCTGCTGAGGTGCGCTTGGCATCTCGAAGTGCTTCTGCTTCGAGCACGGAATTCCAAAGAGAGAAGGTGCCTGCACTGAACTTACAGGCCTTAAGAATTAGAAAAGGGCTCGTTGAAGGGTTGCTGTACAGGCGCCATACTGGTTACTATAACTTTTTAAAGTCTTTCGTATAGGGGCCTTAAAATGAAAGTCTGAATACGGTTTTGGGGAGATTGCGGGACATGAGGCGACAATGTGCACCCATTGAACAAGGGTTTTGGGGTACGGTATACGATACCCAGAGACTCTAAATAAACTACAATACGATCCCTAACATGATTCAGGAACTATTCCTTCACTAAGGGATATTGGAGTCTCTGGGTAACTATCATTGTACCCCCCCGAGGGAATAGACACCAGCGAGCCGGAAAGTTCGACCAGGGTTCCTTTAAAAGGGATCCCTTGAGGGCTCTATAAGAGGCTTCTAGCTATGAGGTAGTAGGGACGGTGGACGATTTTAGTATGGCTCTGGGATGTACTATAGTATCATTAGAATGAAGAGGTATGGTGTAATTCAGCGTGGAGCGTTCTTTGGGGTTCACTTTTCTGGCTTTGGGATTGTGGTGCATTGGCTTGTGGGGTTTAACAGTTCAGGGAGCATGATTTAGGGTGTAGCGTTTATGGATTTAGGGAATAGGTCATGGATGCTCCTGATGATTCGGGTTTCGGAAGTAGGGCATAACATCCTTCGGGTTTGTAGAGTTAGCGCTCAGCATCCACGAGTTCTCTGTTTATAGGGACCATAAACGGAACATATGACAGATAGTGATATGAAAACTGCCGCGGAAGATTTTTCCATGTGCGTCCATGTACGGTTGTCAATTGCGCTATCACTTCTAGCTGACTCTCGTAATATTGGGGCCTTATTGATTAGAATAGGTTTTGTTGGCCCATCAATATGTAGTTATAATAAGTAACCCCCAAAATAACGTTGGAAATTATTTAGGGCCCCGCATTAATGCTTCTCCCTCTCTATGAAAACCTATATCACAGAGCCCTATTATTATAGATCCTTTACAGGATCCCTATTCCAATTGTACAGGCCCCTAGCTTCTCCCTCCAAAGATGGTGAAAGCTACACAAACCCCTAAACCCCCAAACCCCCAAAACCCAAACCCGAATCCCTAAACCCTAAACCCCAAAACCCTAAATTCTAAACCGCTAAACCCTGAACCCCTAAACCCCAAACCCTAAAAACACTAAACCCCTAAAACCCCTAAAACCCTAAACCCCTACACCCTAAACCCTAAACCCCTAAAACCCTAAAACCCTAAACCGATGTTGAACGTCGAGGCACTGTAGCGAGGAGGGAGCTCCGTCTGCTTGGCGCCATGGCACCGGGCCCCCTCCAGGGGCTCCGTGGCAACGCGATGGAACCTCACATGGGAGTAGGGTTTAGGGTTTAGGGGTTTTGGGGTTTAGGGCTTTTGGGGTTTAGGGTTTGGGGTTTAAGGTTTAGGGTTCAAGGTTTCAGGTTTAGGGCTTACGGTTTTTAAGGTTTCAGGTTTAGGGTTTAAGGTTTAGGGTGCTCTTAAATGCCCGGGGAGCGATTCAATCAGAATTGCATTCTTCGAACTCTCCGCTTGTACACTATACAGTAAAAGCCAGAAAGTTGGAATATCATTATCGTAAGCCCTTTAAGGTAAATTATAGGGTATCCTACCCTGAAACCATATTCCAACTTTCTGGAGTTCCCTATAAGGCCCTTAGATACAATTCAATCTGCTTTTCCAGCACCTAGCGGTCATCTCTACACACCCTGAACCCGAAGCGGCTAAACCCCGTATAGGAACGGAACGTTATCGTAGCCACTACAGCAACGTTTGTAATACGACGCCATGTAGACACCCTAAACTTAGGTATTGCCCCCATACAGTAAGAGTCTATAATAGGGCTACTACTAAGGTCCTAATATGTCTAGATTGTGAATATTACTCAAGTATTACTCAGTGGGGGCCCTAAACCCTAAACCCTAAACCCTTCTGGAGCCCCAAGCTTCAAGCCTTCTCTGGCCTCAAACCTCTCTAGGCCTTTGGGTAAGCCTGACAAGAAGAAGCCTAAGGCCTAAACTGAACCCTCACCAAATACAACTGCTGATTCGGAACAGCAACAATAGTTATAACACGAACAATAATTTACTTATAAAAACCATCTTTAACTATAATCATAGTAACAATAGGAATAATCATAATTCTAACATTGATAATAGGTCCCAGGAGCTGAAGCAACGCCTTCTTATTGAGCAGTTGAAGGCGGTCGAAGGCGCGCCACGTGACGCAAAGCTCGTCGTTGCTGAAGCCTTGGGCAATTCGGTGTGTAGGGTTTAGGGGTTTTTGGGTCCTTAAAGGTTTCTTTAAGGGTCTTTGGGGTTTCGTTAAATGTAGGGTTTTTGGTTGGGGGTGTAGGGGTTTAGGGTTCATAAGGGTTCTTTAGGGTTCCTTTAAGTGTATAGGGTTTAGGTTGGGGGGTTCAGGGTGTAATGTTATTTTTTTGTTTTTGTGGTTTGCGGGCTTGGGGAGTAAGGTTTGGGGGGTTACTTGGAGGGTCAAGGGACTTAGCAAGTAGGTAGTAAGTAGACTTATAAGTACCTTAAAAGGGACCCTAATTGGGGTTATGGTACTTATAAGTCCCGAAAATAACCAGTTACTAAGTCCCCTAAAGACCCTCCAAGTAGGGCTTTAGGTTTAGGGCCTGGGATTGAGCTGCGCATGCGAGCGATTGCTGAGGGATCTTCTCGCTCCAAGCTTTGCAGACTCTGCGCGGCCTCCATGTAGGGCCCTTGGTAGTTAGAATGGGGATCCGGGGTGCGTTCTAGTAGAATTAGAATTGCTTCTATATAGTAGGGATCCTGGGTTGTTTGCGACTTTGCCAAAGCATCAAGCGTCCGTTGAATTCGCAATGCACTGTCAGAGAAACTCTGAGGCCAGGGCCGCAACAGAGTCGGCATGTTTGCCGACAACAGCTTTAGGGGATCCTGGGTGTGTGTTGTTGCCAATTGCTGAGTGGGATCGGAATATCGCGTAACAGCATAACCTTTTGGTCCCCACACAACTGACTCCCTTATGAAGACTCGGTGAGAACGCTATCAACGCACAACTCAAAACAACTTTACATCAAGAGCAGTAACAGCACCAGTAGAAGACGCTCCTAGACAACCCTTATGAAATTATTGCAGCCGTGTTGCGGTGGAGCCAGTCATCTGATTCCGCCAGTCGGGCACGGAAGGCGCGAAGAAAGTGCAGCCGCTTCCGTTCCTGAGGAATGAGTGTCCAGAACTTCAGAAAATATGGCTTTGGGGGTTTGGCTTTGGGCTTTAGGAGTTTATGTTCCAGAGTCTAGGATGTCGCAACAGTTGCGGATTGTCTTTTTTTCAAACCCGGGCTTCACCTGGCAGCCAAAAAAGAAGGACACGAGTGGCGGTACAATCCAGAGGCCCCCTAGACCCTAGACCCGAAACCCGAAGACACTACACCCCAATCCCTAAACCCCTAAAGCCCTAAAGCCCTAAAACCCAAAGGCCCTAGAGCCCTCAAACCCTAAACCCCTACAGCCCTAAAAATCCTGACCCCCTACAGCCCTAAAACCACAAACCCCTAAAACCCTAAACCCTGAACTGGAAAATTCTTGTCGCCAAGGCCCTGCAACGGAACTTTGGAATATTGCAACTGCCTTCAAAAGCGGCCCAAAAACCTCTCAGACCCTACACGAGCTACAGTGAACTAATAAGGGCTCCGATAAGGGATCGATAGGGGTACTATGGGGCCTGAATACTAATTAGAATAGGTGATACTTACCATAACTATAATAATCAATCGTATAGGTAATTAGTAGGGCAGCTCTATTACACGAGCTACTGCAAGTAACACGGAAGCAGAAAAGGACATGGCTCCTTCATGATAGGCCATGAGACGACCACGATACGGGAGTTTTCGAAAATAGTGGACCCTAATATGGTACCCCAAATAGTAGGATCCTTATCATAAGGACCCCTAATAAGGTACCCCTAATTTTCGGAAACTCCCATACCGTATAGAATTCGCGCCCTTGGGGCCGTAGGAGGGTCTTTAGGGGACTTAGTAACTGGTTATTTTCGGACTTATAAGTACCATAACCCCAATTAGGGTCCCTTCTAGGGTACTTATAAGTCTACTTACTACCTACTGACTAAGTCCCCCGACCCTCCAAGTAGGTCCTATACGCAAAGTGTCAAAGCTCATGACAGCAATCTTATCAATCCACTAAAGCAGCTTCAGCTATCATCTCTGGAACTGTAAAAGCCCAATCAGACCGTAAAGTCGTAAACCCATAGCAAATTCGTTGAAAACGTAAACCCGAGGGAAGCTTTACAGCGCTCCTTCTATTATCCTTACAAACCTTGTTGCCAAGAGGGTCCATAACCACCACCAAAATTATGGAATGAGGCCCCTAAGAATGGATAGTCAGAGTCGGAGCATATATGGGACCTACTTCACAATCGTAGATTTGATGGTCCCCCTGAGTTGTAGTAACCTTTATGAAAGAAACACCGTAGTTCGGCCCGGGCTCATCGGGGTGGAAGTCTGCATCGCTGAATGCGGCGAGGAGCCAAACCCTAGGTCGGGTGGTAAGTTAAAAAAAGTCGCCTTCACAACCACAGTAGTTGTAATTCGAATGATAGTCGTAGGAAGAATAATGCTAACACAGTAGTACCTTTTGGGAATAGCAAAAATACTAGTTGAAAGAAGAAGAATAGGGTTGTAGTCGTAGATTTTTTGGCGGAGTGTTTGAAGGCTTCTTATACGTTTCGGGCCTTTGGGCTTAGGGCTAAGTGGTTTTGCAGCCCAGGGTTCCTAGAGGCTTTACAGTGGCTGTTGCAGTGTTTGGTTTCTTGCGTTATTAACCCTGAACCCTAAACCCCTAAACTCCAAACCTCTACACCCTGCTTTTGTGCGTTGAAGGGTCTGCAGGCTTGGGAAGTCGGGCTTTAGGGGTGGGGGTTTAGGCTTCGCGGGTCGAGGGTGGTGATGTCCACTGCTTCCTTTACCCCTGATCATGAGAGGCATTCTGATGTTCAGGGTTGTAGAGAAGGAGGGCTTATGAACCAGGGGTATACATTAAGGCCAAGTTCTCCAGCATCGCCTGGAACTTAAAAACCAGGCTCCCCTATAGCCTACAGTATAGGGCTAAATCGCCGTTATTCTTTTTCCGCGATCTCCAGCCCCAGACCCTCCAAAACAAGGGTGCCCTCCTTCTTGCTCTTCAGCCCTAAAAGGAAGCCCCCAACCAGGAAGTGTAAATCGGTACTCTGCTTCAGACCCTAAACCCTAAACCCTAACCCTAAACCCTAAATCGGAACTCTGCGTGAAACCCAGGATAGGAGCGAGGCACAAATGCTTCGGCGAAGCTGTGTCTACCAGGTCCGCTGCCCGGTCCGATATGGCCTGCCAGATGCTGAAGTCCTTGGTACCGGGGATGAGCTCTGCATACAGGTAGGATCCCAGGTATGCTCTTTAAGAATAGTGGTACCCTTACCCCCTAAACCCTAAACCTCCTCTACTACTATCCAGACCTTTCAGTTTGGAGTCCCCGCATCAGAAGGCCATAAAGGCTACTGCTGGAGGAACTGCTGCTTAGACTCCGTCGTCGGACAGACTGGGGTTTACCACATCCCCCCAAAAAAGTATGTATACCCTACGCCCCAAACCCTCAACCCTAAAGCCCTAAACCCATAACGAAACATCTATGCAAGACGCCACAAACCCTCAACCCTACAGCCCCAAACGCATAACAACACATCTATGCAAGATGAAGTGCTGCTGCGCCATGCGCATCTCGTTCTCGAATCAGCGAGCATGCAGCCGCTGTGAGTCCGAACCTTGGGCTTCGAGCATGCTGTAGCTTAGGGTGCAGGGGCTTAGGGCTTTAGGAGTTTAATTGGGGCTTTGGGGTTTAGCGGTTTAGTGCCCTAAACCCTAAACCGCTACGCCCTAATGCCTAAACCCCAAAACCCATTTAGGGTCTTGCGAAGATGCCCACGAACCAGACATTGGAAGCCAACTGATCGAATTGGGGACTTCCTGCTCTTGGGGGCGTTTTAGTATAGGGGCCTTGATAATTTTGGGGATAGGGTTCCCTTTAAGGGTTCCTTAAAAGGGTTCTATTACGGATCTATAGTTCTGGAATATGGGGCCTTAATAATAGGAATAGGGCTTTGGGGGTATAATACACTATACTTGTAAGAAGGACCTCCCAAAAAATACGTGTATGATTTAGAGTTGAGAGTTTACTGCGCTCACCGCAGTTCTACTTCTCTCTGGGCGCCTTACCCCGCAAGATTTTAAGGACCATGCAGCCTCGGGCCGCAGCAACGTCGTCTTAGGTCGGGTGTGAAGCGGTAGAAGGAGGCCTTTTCGGGGATGTCATGCGTACTTTCTTTCGATACACTGCCTGGAAGGCTGATCTCCCTCCAAGGAGGTTTACGGGCTCCCTAAACCACATTCCCATGGTCCCTTAACCCTGAACCCCTAAACCTTGAACCCTAAACCCTAAGCCCTTTGGGCCCAGTCGCTCATCCGAAGCCGCAATCTCCGCTGCACGGAGAGAAGTTCCAGCTGAACTCGAGAAGCAGCGGCTGGAGAAGACCTTAGAAGGCGACATCTGAAAGTGCGGTTTAGGGTTAAACCCCCAAACCGGACTGATGGATTCGGACCTCCTCCTGTTAGTGGCTGCCTCAAGTGGGCCTGCTCTACAGTAGCCCCGAGAAGTGCTGGGGAACGGATGGTGCCTGTCTCGTGGGGTCCAAAACCCAGATATCTGGACCTTGCAAGCTCCATGCCATGGGGCTTTGCCAAACTTGGGCCGCTTTGGCGGAGAAAAAAAACTACACTGGCTTGTTTGACAGGAACCAGAGATCCTGACGACGACTGTGCTCATACTTGGAGGATCAGGAGTCTTAGAAAGTAAGGTAGTAAAGTACGTTAACTGAGATTGTAAGTGATTAACTATAAGTATAGTTACCTTGCTAAAACTTATAACACTAGTTACTAAGTCCCATGACACTTTTAGTCCCAGCACCATGTCAAGGAGCTTCCCGAAAGGCCAGGCAGCGGCCGGCGTGCCGGCGCAAAACCTCCGCTCAGGCGGGCGAGCCACAAAGTCCTAAAGGGGAACCTACTATAGAACCCTCTCTCTCTCTTCTCTCTCTCTTCTCTCTCTCTCTCTCTCTCTCTCTCTTCTCTCTCTCTCTCTCTCTCTCTCTCTCTCTCTCTCGCTCTCTCTCTCTCTCTCTCTCTCTCTCTCTCTCTCTCTCTATGGAATTAGAGAGAAGGGCTAGTTCATTATTTTCCTTTGCGAGCATCTTCGAGAGTCGACTTGGGCCCGGGTAGCTGGGTCACGGGCGTTCTCTCTTGTCACATGCACCACTAGACGGCAAGAGATGAATCACACGAACTAACGCAGGGACCCTAAACCCTAAACCCTGAGGCCTAAACCCTGAACCCTAAACCCTGAACCCTAAACCCTAAACCCTGAACCCTAAACCCTAAACCCTAAACCCTGAACCCTAAACCCTGAGCCCTAAACCCAAAACCCTGAAGCCTGAACCCTAAACCCTGAGCCCTAAACCCTAAACCCTGAACCCTGAACCCTAAACCCTAAACCGCCGGAACCCTAGAGAAGCCCTACCATCCTGCACGCGTCTACTTTGCAGAGTTCTGCTGCTTTTAGTGCAACATCACAGCAAACCTCAACCCCCCCAACCCCGGAACCCTACAGCTTAGATCCCCGGCCCTAAATCCTACCTTAAGCTACCATAACCTACTTTTTTTGTCGGTTCTTACTATAAATCCTGATGTTGCATTCTTGTAAGGGAATAGGTTTCGGTAGGCGAAGGTATACCGGTACACCTTGAGCTCACGTCACTGCGCTGCTGCCAAAGTGACGCAACCCAGCCCGAGCACTCTCGACATACCACCATTCCAAAGAGCTCGTGGCTAAGGACTATTGTAAGGGGCAACGATAAGAGTGCTTTGCTTTACGGATTAGTCTGAAGGTGCTAATGACATGGTATTTGGGTCTGTGGGCGTTTGGGTTATGAGGGTTGAGGTCTTGGGAAAGAGGGCATTAGATTTACGGCTTCGTTGTGTAACTCCCTGTTGGTATAACAGTGGGATGAAGACAAACCTCGTTCGAAGCTGAGTAAGCTTGCAATCAGGACTTCAACACGTTATGCCGAACCCCAAGCCGCGTGTTGGCTACAGGAAGGCACATTCCAGGGTCGAGAGGGCTGGAGTTTGCAGCACTTGGATGCCTCAACAGTTTGAGTAGGCTTCGGGCGCGTGTAATGGTTGTAGTATAGTTACGTGAGCCAAAACGGCTGCCTTGAGGGGATTTGATGAAAAGCTACAGCAGTACATCTGCGTATAGTCTTCCATACTCACAGAGCAGTCTTATAGAACATATCTAGCTATATATATATATATACATATACACATATATTCTAATGTGTATATATATACACACAAAATATGATACATATGTAACATATAGATAATGTACAGATAATAGAAATAAATACATAAATAATATGTATAGAAAGGTATGTATATATATATATATATGCACATACAGAAGCTATGCAGCGTCTTTCTGAGCCGCCCCGAAGAGAAGGATCGATGTAATAAGGACCCGTAAATGTGGCACTCCTCAGCCCCCGCTTCCCAGAATGCTTAAGAGACCCGGACGTGTGACGATTGATCTCGCTATGTTCCAACTTTTGAAACCTTACAACATATTAGATCCCTTGGAGGTCGCCGCCCGAAAACCAAACAGCACAAGAAGCTAAGACTTGAAAGCTCTTCTAGGATGCCCAGTAACCTAGGAATAAACAGGGCCCCATTTTGGGTATTGGGTAACTTTATAAGGAACCTAGGACTACAAAAAGGGAATAAGGGTACTACTGGGCATCCTAGCCCCTAATTTTCGAAAACCCTAAGCCCTTTGTAGAACCCTTATAGATCCTTTTAAGGAGCCCTTATAGATCCCTTTAAAGGTACCCCTAATAAGGCTACTGCTTGGCATCCTAGACTTAACACAAGCTGCAGAAGGGCCGAGCGCATCAAAGGACGACCCGAAGGATGGCAAATGTAACGGCTGATGATATAAATCCTGCATTACCTTGAAGAACCTAAACTATGGGAATTATGGTCTATTCCTTATTATGGGTCATGCAGGATTTATATCATCAAATGTAAGGACCCTCAACCAGGTCTTGGTGCCCAATATAGGGCCTGAATAGTTAGAATAGGGCATGGGGTCCCATTATACTACAATCATATAAAGGAACCCATCGAATAGTATAGGTAATCATTCAGGCCCGTATAGTACATCGAAAAGATTTGAGGGTATCTCGTCTTATGCTGGTTTTGTATGCTTTGGGCTTTCGCCTTATTTGGGAGTCCTTGCGCAGAGGGCCTAGACGAGTACCGACGATGGCATACTCAAGTGCTCGCACTTCCAAAGGTCGGAATTAAAGCTTTGGAGGAAGTGTAGGGCTTAGGCTTCATAGGGTTCTGGCAACAAGAACGAACATAACAATGATAACTCCGCAGAATTGCCCAGGAAAGCCAGTAGCAATGATACAAGTCGTCGCTACAACAATCCATGTTAACCGTACACCATCCAATGTAGAACCAGCCTTGATGCTCAGTACTGCACTGCCGTTACAAGCTATCCTCAGACGGGCAAGTGACCAGGAACATGGCAGCGTCCTAAAGGGTTCCTTTGAGGGTATATATAGTCGCGTCCTTTAAGGCAGGGTACCTTCAAGGGTTCGTTGAAACCCCATCTAAGTTCGACATCACTGTCCAGAACCCGCTTCTGGCCTCTCGCGCTCCACCACGGCTTTCCATTCATAGGTGACCTGCCCGTCTTCTGCCACCTGGCAGGCTGATCAGGCGAGGACTTCAGTCATGAATGTTGCTAGTGTCTTCTGCTGACTGTCGCTATTGATCATCTTCCAACACGCAACTACCTACATACGTGCACAATCCTGCATGCATATTTGCGTTCTACATGCCTTATGAATACTTGCATGATTGCATGCCTGCATATGTGCATAGATACGTTCTTACGTACAAACAGCCCAGCAAACATCCATACTTTCAGGCAAACACACATAAGCAAATTAGACATACATACACAAACTACATATATTACGTAACTACACTCCGTGTACTTTATTACATTATAGACTTACGTACAGTACATACACAGCTACAGAGATGCGAACACGCACAACACACACACGCATACACATGCACACAACACACACAGACACATGCATGCATGCATATGTACATAGTTACGTACGTAAATAAATACATGCCTACGTACATACAAATTTTGCTTGCATAAATTGCATGCAGTACATCATAGAGGGTGCTAAACGCGCCAGAAGCAAAAGTTCACAGTTTGATGGGTGGCCAGGCACTGGCAACAGGAGAGACTTCAGATGGCTTTTTACAGATCTGCACGAAGTCCTCCGAATGTCACCCTTTCCGAAGTTTCGACGTAGGCTTTCCGTTGTTTGTAGACTGGAAGACATCTAGCACCAACAGGTCCCCCCAAAAAGTATTAATAAAAGTATGGTACCCCAAAGCCCAGTTTATAAAAAGAGTACCCTTTTTCCTAGTAATGAAATACCAATAAGAGCACCCTTTTTCCTAGCAATGAAATACCAATAAGAGTACCCTTTTTCCTAGCAGTGAAATACCAATAAGAGTACCCTTTGTCATGAAATACCGAGCTTCTGCACTCATCGGCCTCCATGTCCGGGACCAAGGATGGACTACCACGACAGACCTGCACTTGGAGGTCCACCGGTAGTTATAAGGGTTCCTGTAAGGGTCCCTTTAAAGGGATCTTTAGGGATCTTATAAGGGTATAGGGTTTAGGGTCTACTTGGAGGTTCACGGGTAGTTATAAGTGGAGTTCTAAGTCCCCTAATACGGGTTATAATTGTAGCTACCATACTCATAACCCCACTTATAACTACCCATGAACCTCCAAGCACGAGTGAAAGCAGGAGGGTTTAGGGTTTAGGGTTCATGGCAACTGATCAGATATGCTCAGTAGCTCGTCTTCCGGAGAAATGGGAAGGAACACGAAAGCCTGGAGTAAACACCCATATATATATATATATATATGTATGTCTATATATTTTTACATATATATATATACATATATATATACATATATATATATATATATATACATATATATATACATATATATATATACACATATATATATATATATATATATATATATATATATATACATATATATATATATATATATATATATATAATCGGCGGGTCCAATGCATGAACCAACAGGAAGTCCAAAGCTCAGTCCGGCGGAACTCGAAAACTGAGCAGAGCCTTCAATGCTATGTTGCATATATGCATTGTTATATAGTCCACACTGTACTTTTTTCCACACTGTATTTTACACATGATATGTTAGGAACTAGGTATGATGCAGTAAATGCTGATTACTTCAACCCGCAAGAACCCCATGCCTGTCATGTGCACATTCTTGTCGTCCCTGTCAGTTCCTCGTAGACTCCCCTTTAAGGGCCCGAAGATCGGGATCCCTACTAAAAACCCACGAAATGGATACGGGATTTCAACCAAGGGTTACATCATACATTACTCACGAAAACCCGAAGTCCAAAGACCTAAACCCTTTTTGGTCTTATGCCGCTCTGAACCAACGTTTTGGGCTCTTTGGAGGGCCTGAAGTGGTTGTAGAAGCGCCCAGAGCATGTCCATGTACGGGCTGACCTTGGCAAACCAGGCCATGACCTAGAAACCCTAAACCCCGAATCAGAAGTGAAGACTTGTTACGGACATTATTCTTGCAGCATGGCAGTGGGAAGCTTTGTCTATGCTTCTGTAATGGCATATACAGCAGCACACGGAATCACTTCAATTCCCCTCTCCTGCTGTATTATTAATGCCTGTGGAAGCCGGGGCAGCCAACAGTAGGGACCACAAATGTGCTCCGAACAAAGCTGCGATGATACCGTGCTTGCAACGAACTTATACCCTAGTATCACTTACTGGTATCCCCTTAAAGTATTCTCCGAAGATCCAGGAGAAGCCTCAAACCCTACAACCCTAAACCCTAGAGCTCCCTTCTTCGGATCTGCGCTACTTTCTGGCCATGAGAGAGCGGGGCTGGTGTGCTACGACAGTTCTGAGCCTTTGGCAGGAAACCTCTCTAAGCTCTAAACCCTCACATTACCCTAAACCATACCAGTTAATGAACCGCACTCCACGGCCTTAAGCCTGAATCCATAGTCTCCAGCTCTAATCTGTACCCATAACCCTTACCAGCGTCCCGGACAGGACGGCTTTTGGGAACCCAGACAACTTACCCCGAGGCTCCCGAGGCGGGATCTTGGAACGAGAATGTCCTGACACTTGGCCATAATAACCCGCAAAACGCTACAGCCCCGTAAACCCTGAACCCTGACCAGAAGCCCTAAACCCCAACAACCGAAAGCCCTGAAGCCCTAAATACCCTGAAGTTAAAGCCCTAAACCATCGATTCTGCATAGCTTACTGGAGCAAAGGGGATCCCCATCATGGTCCCCCTGAAATCCTTTTCTGGTTTCCCTCATATTCCCTCCTCCACTCTCCCCTGCCCAAGTAGGATAGGGCTCTAGCGCTGCAGCTCGGGCATGCCTTCGCCGCCTCAGGTCTAGGGCGTCTTTGGGTGTAGGGTTTAGGGCTTGTAGGATTAGGGTGTAGGGGTGGGGATCAGGGCATTTTTGGGGTGTGTAGGGTGTTGTGACGACTTGGATGGCTGGGCCTCTTTCACTGTGTGCGGTCTACCATGCCCCCGCTAAGATGGGAGTATACAGGGATTATTGTACGCCCGAGGGTTTAGGGTTTAGGGT